GTAATCATGACCCGAGAGTCAAAGTGCCCGTAAGTAGAGACGTAGCGCGCCTAAAAGTCCGAGTTGCCAGCTGACTTCGGGACACAAGATATAACTTTGTCGACGAGGTTCGCGGCCGACCTGCGCCAACAGTTGAGCCCGTGAAACCTGCTCCGGCTCCAGACAGCGAGCAGGATCAGGGAGACAAAGTGAGTAACGTGTAGCGAGCTCTTACAATTGCGGGCTTACCTGTGGTGTTCAGCAAGGTCCAAACCCGGCGTAATGTAAAGGCCGCAAGCCAGCCTGTCTCAACCCCTTTGCTTTTGGCCTGAGTGACAATAAGGGCGAGCAGTGGGATATACCCAGGCTCTTGGTCCAGATGTCTTGCGCCTTCGATCTCTTTCTTCTCATGTACTCCTCGAGCTTCGCTATCTGGTATAGTAGGGTTTGATCGGTTCAGGTGTACTGCGTTCCATCCGAATTGTCGTTCTTCCTCCGTTTCTGTTCGATGCTATTTTTTCCGTTCTCCTTACGTTGAATATACTGCGACTTAGCTGCTGGACTACTTCCTTTAGAGGCGGTGAGCGGAGAACGGTCATGGAGCAACGAATCGTCGTGTTCAACACGCGGTCGACAAACTCAAATTTCAAACTCAGCAATCGGGAGCTCAAAAGTTCTACGGTCCTTGGCATGGAGGAACAACAAAACGACGACACTAACTCTTCAACGTTCTTCGAAAGCAAGCTGCTGCAGCTTTGCGTATTGCGGGCTGTCTTAGACTCAATGCCATTGCCACAGCTGTCGCTTGCGTACTGCCGAATTTCCAGGGAAAGCCGAACCATCGTATCACGTCAGGCTCTCCGTCTACAAGCTGGGCGAAACGGAAAATGCGTTGCCATCCTGCGCGAGAGCCTGGAAATTTGTCATACCCCGGGCCAGGAAGACAATGCCAGAGCTTCAATTCCTCGAGAGAATAGGCACCATCCAGAGTTGCAAGAACCAGAACATTGAAGCGCTAGCGATACTGAACGACGATGGGGTAATCGGGTCCCGATTGGGTGACTGGTGCTCGCAGTTGTAGGGTTCACGCGCTTCGAGCCGTCCACTTTCGTCAAGACAGTCTGTTTCCATCGCCTACAGGTTGGGGCAGAGTTCAAGCTAATACGAGTGCTAGAGAAGCTAGGAGGGTCATTGATAAACAGCCAAAAGCTCCTGCACCATTGTAGAAGGCTTTTCTATTCTGGCAGGGGCTGTCCCAGCGGAGGAGTTCGAACCGGGTCGTGTCCACTTTGACCGTTGAATGAAAGTTGCCGAGCTGATTGGGAGGGTGCGCTCTTCTAAAACAGTTGCATGATCACTGTGTGCCGTGAATAAGAAGAAAAAATATCAGGACGTGGCGAACCACCCGAAACAGAAGCGGGACATCCTGGAGAGGGCGCAACGATACGACGAGGCGACCTTACATGTCGAAGCAGCCCAGCGACCTCAAAGAGACTGGATATATCTGGCCCTAGAAGCGAGAACGACCACGCAATACTTTAAAGTGGCCATGAATTGGTTGCGGCCGTCACCTCTTTGGTGTGATGTGAAAACTCCCACAGCAAAGTCTATGTGTAGATATCAGTGTCTGTTCACTTCTCAACCCAACCTACGATCTCTGCGGTTAATCCAAAAGATTTAATCCCACTGAAAAGTGCAAAGTGCAACTCTTGATATCCAGGTCGGTCTGGCATTCAGAGCAGGGAAAACATCCAGTGTGAAGCTCTGTACCCTCGCCCCTCGTAGGGTCATTATGGGTGTTCCTGAGAAAGAGCGTGAAGGCCGCTGTATAGCAGGGGGCTTCAACTCATATAGTAGTAATACTTTGGAATAAATGATAGACTCCACCTCTGGTGATATGAACAGCAGTGAAGGCGCTTCCAACCTCAGAGCAGATTTGTTCGTCTCCGTTGTAAATTGATGATAACGTATAAAGTAGGAGGTAACCAGATTCAAGTTCCACTACTTTGCTACCCCGTGAAACCTCGCAATCCCCTAGTTATTGGATAACGTTATATTTGAAACGAATCTAGCAGATAAAAGGAGGCCCTCCAATGTGAGCCACGAAATATCTATTAGGGCAGTATTGGATCCGGCAACTCATACATGTCGACATGAGCAGAGCGAGTAGCGGTCATTCCCCCATCAAGGCCGAATTGGCCTCCCGTGGTGGGGGTTAGATGGTGAAATTTCTCGCGGTTCTAGGGGAATTCTCTAGAGGGCCTCGAATTTGCAATATGCGGCTGTTCCAACAATGAGGCGGGGATATCCAATTGCAGTGCGTGATTGGAGTTGTTCATCGATCTGGGGAGTTGCGGTGATTCAACAGGAAGCGCGGACTGGGGGCTTTCAAGTCGCCCAAGCGTGCCCGATTTGCAAATCCGATCGCTTCTTGCAGTCGGTACATTCTTCATGAGCACCAAGGAAGTCTAAAGAGGATGCATCTGTTGAGACAAAGGGTGTAGCGAGCCTGGTTGACAGCCGGTCGGTGACACAGGGACGATAGTCCAGATTAAGCCCAACGGGTCCCTGACTACATACTTGAAGTATTATTCGCGGGCTCCCGTCAACGGCTCGCCAACTGTTCGCCTTGTGCCCCGCCCTTTGGGTAGCTCTTTGGTCCTTGTAACGAGATCTTGCTCAACCGGGTAGCACAGCACGCTTTTGGATTATATGTCGGCCTTATTTTGGGATGGTCGTGGCTGGTCGGGGCGTGGGGCACTCATCACATCGTGCAGATAGATGCAAAGGTGGCAAGAATGCTCATGTTGAATCCACAACAGGGAGATGTAGTCTGCGGATTGAACGTTCGATCGAACCACCCGTCGAACATGTCCAGCACAGCGACACAGTATTTCCCAATGGTATTAAGCAGATTTCCATTCTTTCCCTCCGCTTTTGACCACAGAAGACGTCCCGAAGGGCGACTGGAACTCGACTCTTCGAGATGGATGCATTGTTGGAATCAGTAAAGGCAATCCTGATTAGCCTGAAATCAAATAAGCGGGTCCCGTCGCACACAGCCGCGCGAATGCTACTTCGTGCACGAACTGACGACGTCTCAGGACAGTCTCCAGCGAGCACCGTATCTCAATCAGCCCGAAACTCAATGCACTGCAAGATGTATAGAGCAGCAATGCAAGAAATAGCATGGGACACGCTTTGGAAACACGCCAAGTATTTCGCGGTGGAATTTATCGGGGCAAGCGGGTGAAGAGTGGGGTCAGAATCGCACCATGGTCACAAAGCATCTGGTCTTCGCGGTTACTCCACAAGGATCAATGCCATTGAATATTTGGGGTTGCAATTATTGGCACCCAGCACGCTTGGGAGCTCGGGCTCGGTCCAGATTCTAATGAGGCCCTGGACGCTGGATAAGGAGCCCTAGTCTTGGAAAAGGGACCACACTAACCCGCCATTTTGGTGCCTCGTGTATCAGATACAGAGTCGATTGTAATAATAAGATACTTGCGACCGAGCCCCAGTTAGTCCATTACGATACCGCCCAGGGGGGTGGCCTGTTGGTCTGCAGGCTCCACACCCGGGAATGGCACAATGCAATGAACTGTATAGTCGCAACGAAACTATTCACATAATTAGAATCCCGGATAAACCCCAGTCGACGAGAACGAGGCCACAACGCGTTTTGATCAGGTTTCGGTGTTGGCAAAAGAGCCGGGAGTAGCGAGGAACCAGGTATAGGAACACAGAGGACGGCAAGCGAAAGATGAGGCTGTCCAAGTCGACTGCTCAACTGTGCTTCCGTGCGTTGGGTCTGCGATTGCAACGTAGGACCAGAAACGACTGTCCTGACGCTCGAGGAGAGGTGGGAATGAGGGATGAGAGAACACAGACCCACCTACTTATATCAAAGATATAAAGCACCAGGCTTTTACTTTAGATCTTCGTCGTTCCAAAGCTGATTATCCCCTCCCCCTTGCTTAGACCTAAGACATCACTGTCGACCACCTTCATCTCGTAGAAACCCACGAACACGACACCATGCACAAAGAATCAAAGTGCCCGTAAGTCGACACCCGCCTACATGGCCGAGTCGCTAGCTGACTTCTGGGCGCAAGATACGACTCTGTGGACGAAATTCGAGGACGGGCAACTCACCCGGTCAAGTCCGTCCCAGCCCAGCAGCCCGAGGAAGCCGCCCCAACTCAGGAGGGCGAGGAAGACAAGGAAGGCAAGGGAGAAAAGGTGAGAAAGGTATAGAGAGCTCTGACAATTTCTGGCTGACCTGCAATGTTTAGAAGGATCTAGAGTCGTGATGTGATCCCTGGTGTAACGAAAGACTCTCAACGCCTTTGCTTTCGACCCAAGCGACGGTAACAATGTACGGTAGATAACATCCAAGTTCTTGTTACGAATGCCACGTTTTTTCGAATTCTTTCATATCGCGTACCCGTCGGGCTTCACTGTCTGCTGCAGTAAAGGTTTCGAACGAACGTTTACTCCGTTGATCCGAGTTGTCGCTTTCCTTCCGTTTCTCTTCAATGACAATCGCTCCGTTTTGTTTGCTGTGGCTTGGGAGCAGAGAAAGATAGGGTAGGTAGGTAGGTAGGTACATCCGTGGAACCTGGTAAAAGATCGGGTGAGGGAAACAGTTGGTGAGACCATCTGCATCGTGGTCGAAAGGTCGACAAACAAACTCCCATATTTCAAACTCAGCAGTCGCGAGCTCCCCGAGGCCCCGGGGTGAACTTTGCTTGCCCGTTAGGGCTCTGTAGATTAAAGAATAGCTATAAGTATGGCACTGGATTATGATTTTCCGGATACGATTGCCGGTGGAGGGATTGGAGGACATACCACGCATGTGTTTCACGGCTAACCAAATTCAGGCATGCTTCAAGCTCAAATTGCTCAAATCCGCCAACAAAGGATATAACTGGGTAGGCAGAGCAAAGAGGGCAGGGTATGGTGGAACAGAGGGTGACAAAGCGAGGGAGAAAAAGAGATACAAGAACAAAATTTCATGACCGCGGGGTGAATCGAACACCCGTCTTCTCGGGGCAGCTTATCAAGCACAACCACAACGAGATGCTCTAACCACTAAGCGACGCAGTCTACACCTTTCTATTGCTTGCTAATTTTACACATAGTACACCTTTCTAATTTTACACAAGTTCCTCTCAACCATGTCTACCCGATCTCTTCCATCATCGACCTGCATTATTCGGATCCTGATACAACCGGTGGGGCCACCTCTCCCAGAACCTCGCCGTCAGTGCTGCCATCCTTTAGAACGGCTAGGCTCGAGTAGCCAGTGGCAACCCATCTTGGTACAGCGATGGGGTTTCGTCCTTCGCTTAAGCTTAAAACACACCATCCTCCAAGAACCTCGATTGGTCATGAACAGTTGTACAATGCTGAACCAAAGCAAAAAGTTTGGAGCACCCTCCCATGAGGACAACAAGAGCCCCGAAGATAAACTCTTTGTAATCGAAGAGAAAAATGTTGAGCATCCAATGCGATTTAGGTGAGGCATAACGCGGGTAAGTAATCCCTGACCAATACCTAAGAGCTTCTTTCCCAAGATGATACTTCCTTTCGCGTTCCCTCCCATTGCTGAGTTTTGAGATTAGTTTGTTCTTCTATGTCGATGGCCACATTGTACTCCTCGGGAAGTTGATGCAGAAGGCCATATAGCAGCACTGGAAATAGTAAAGCAAAAGGGATAGCATTCGAATGGATATAAACAGTATTTGGAGAAATAGCGAGCCGGGCGCTACGCCTGGGATCAGAAACTACCCATCAGTTCCTCATTGACAGTACAGAATTAGGGTCCATTAAGCCTATAAGCGAGCAAAGACGAGGCTTCTGACATGATATTCAACGATCTTATTTCCTTAAATCACACAAGGTAGAACGTGGAGCACGGGTTGGGTTTCCACCAATTCGAGATGGTTTGCTCCAGTCTTTTTTTTTGTTCGGACCATTGAGCCTACTTATTACAATCAAGAGAACCTCTAGAAAGAATGGCGACATCTCCCCACCAGCACTCTGTCAATGAAAGTTCTCCCATGGGGCGGTTGGGAGGATGAGAGGGGCTTTGGTGACTCGGCCCAGAACGACCGAGTCGCTGAAGACTTGGAGCAGCAATGATACACAAAGGCTCTTGGGGCTGATGCTAATGAGCGTTCCACGCCAGTGAGGACGTTACAAGTGTTCGCCGAATAGGGGAACGGCTGTGAACTTTCAAGAAAGGTGGAGACTCATGCTTGGTACGAGACCTCGCCCAGCACCGTCTCTATCGGTGTCTCGGCAGATCGGCTCCGAAATATGAACAAGCGGCTCTCCCGGCTCCAAACTTGGATGCACTTTCGCGATGCAGCCCAACCCAACCGAAAGGGATCCTCGCGTGAGTGCGGTCATGGAGCCTTCATTTCGGAGAAATAGCTCCTAAGCGGGACCACCGAAAAAAGTAACGCATGGATCTGGCTCCAATGATCCCTTCCTTGTGTAATGACCAGTCTGCAGGAGAAGCAAAACGTGTGGCGCGGTGACAGGTCATGTGCGAGCACGATGAGAACTAGCCTTTCCATCAGCGCGCATCCAGAGCCGTTGAGGTTTCCGATGGTTCATTGAGCTGGTGTTCCTGATGATCCACTCAAGATGTATGGCGAGGCGTCTAGGCCCCGCTTGAGCCGACCGATCCAGAACGCTCCGGGGGACGAACAACCAGACTGTGAAGCAGAGCGGTCCTGGTAGAAGACACCCAGCATCAAACGATGGAGTGACATTATGGTTGCACCAAATACTTCGTATGGATAGAAGAGAAGCACAGATTTGAACATCCATTTCCGGCTGCTTTGCAAGTCAAAATCTGCTGGTGGCGGTCGGGACGTGATGATGCGGCGACAGAGTGGAAAATACCCGCGGTTAGGCTGAAGTAATGTCACCCCGTGGCCTTGTGTGTCTCCATCGGTTCGTACCTTCCTTAAGTGTCATGGTCGGCGATGTCCGTCCGGATTCTGCGCAGTACGACTTGCACTCGCCCTACGAACACGCAGAATCACACTATCACACTGGGCGTACCGTTGATGAGACGAGGCCTTTCCTTTCGCTGACGGCATCAGGTGCCCCCTTCCCTGCACATCCTTTCGTGAGAGCGGTCTAACCCGATGTGGGGGTAGGTTTGCATCTTGCGGTTTCGTGCGAACAAGTTGGAGGATGTGAGAGATGGGGTATATATTGTTCGGTGCTGTTCGATTTCTGTGGAGTTTCCTTTTGGCCCCTCTTGCTGCATACGAGAGATGGATAAACATGGCGGTGGCCGGGACGGTCTGGGAACCTCGACATTCACTTCTGTTCCGCTCTAGCGTGTTCCATGACTGCTTGTGATCTTGGAATGATTTAGTAAACCCGCTTCTGAGGGATGGGTCCCGTGCAACTGATTGCCTGCGCTGCAAGGGGAGTCGAATGCGGCCGCCTGACCTGACCCTCTCGACAATGAAAGCGGATGATGGCTTCGACGGCGTGCTTGTGACTCGATGGGGTGTCTACTAGCTAGCCTCTTTTTGCGTTTCCCGTGTTCCGTGATCTTCCTTGCTCGCCATATTCACGCAATCGGGGTCATTTGGGAGCGTGGATCAGCTTCATAGTGGCTTATTTGGTCATGGAAACCCTGCACACGATCGACGTAAATGGACGTGGAAGAACGTCGGCAAACAGGCCTAAGGCCTGTGAGGGCGGCTTGGTGAGTGCCTGAAAACCACACGAGGCTGTTCGGTCCGGTTTCTGTCGACGCAACCTGGCACATCTTCTGGCATGCCACACACGTCTTGGCCCCTCGCGGATCAACGCATCATCGAGTCGTTTCTCGCGGATTTCCACTTCGTCGTCGTTCCCTTTCCTTCCCCGATATAGTAACTGAGGTATCCAAAGATGGTAAATGGAGAGCCAAATGACGCACTCATTCATCCTGATCAGACTATTTGACTCTCCGCGGATCCGGTCGGACGCTTAGAGCAGCCCAAAGTCCGATCTACGTGTCAAGGGCCTCTGCGCAATCGTTCTTCACGGAGCCTTTGAACAGCCGTAGACATCTTTCAGGCATTTTCGTACCACGGTTGGCGAAGAGCTCCCCGCGTTCCCCGGGTCCTCCAAGCGGAACCGAACAAGCGACAATCCTTGCAACCGGTATTCTCCGTGTTCGACTTCTGTCACCAAAACACAGACTTCCTTGCGGCGTTTCTCGGTGATTCTCTATGCACCTTGTCGTGCTTGTGGGTCGGCAACTCATCGTGTCTCGCGATCAAGCCAATCCAGATGGAGAGCCACTCTATCCATTCTCGGACCCACCACCGTTTAGTCGAATGGGAATCCCCTTGCCCTAAGAAGACTGTTTGTTATTTTTTTTTTCACTCCGCATCGTGTCTCTTTCCCCACCACGCTCCCCCTATCCTGCGTACTCAGACATTTTGCCCGTGTCAGTTTCCTCGCGCTACAATTGCAAACGTGGGCTTCTCTCACAGGCCTTAGGCATGTATTCTTCGGGCGCTAGCGTGCTTCGCCCGTACTTGCCTTTACCCGATACGGGATATCTGCTGACTGCACCGGGAGAAAAGTGGTCCTTGGTGCAACGAACGATCAACTCCCGCCGCGTGTGTGGGGAGGTTATGCAGGCCACAGGCCCTTTCCTCCTTGGCGACTATTTTAACCAGGGCAGCGGAAGAAAACCAATGGGTACTGCCGCACGCACACGTTATGTGGAAGATGATCGGGCGCTTGGCGCACTGCTACGTGACATTCCGATCGCAAGTGTGAATAAAATCGAGTTTTGACGGATTCTGAGCGTACTCGTCAGGCTAGTCATGCAGGTGGGCGGTTGACCATGTTGAGGGTAAGCACATTTTTTTACTCGGATGGGTGTGTCATGCCCGTTTGCTGACCAGTGAACCTCGCCCTCCGGCCTTTGATGGGACCATCTGGACCTTGTTAAGCCGTTGTTTTGGTATTCTTGAATTAATGTGACGGTCTTTGTCAGAATTGGGGTGCAAGCCCGTGAGGGCAAGGTCGTTCACTGCCCAATACGGTCTAAGATGCCCTTTCTTTTGCAGTATTAGCACAGCTTCCATTTGCGTCAAAATGAAGGAACAAGCATCTAAAGGCCTTTCACCAGCGCCAAATGTTCGTTTGCGTCCAGGCAGGAAGATGTATCCCCATCCGATCGTTTGACCACCAGGGTTCCAATTACGAATATGGGTGTTGAGGTGGTTGTCGGGTATGGCATCTCAAATAATTGTCCTTGGCCACGTTTAATGGGCTGCTGATGTCATGCAACGCAAGTTATCAGCCGTGATGACCGCGGAACCACCCGGCTGGCGTTGGATATTCTCGCCGAAATGCGTGCATCGTTGTATCCACAAGGCCTTATCTCTCTACATCTTCCATTCTTTGCTTCTACCACGCACGACCCCCCTAGTCAGACTTCGCCGTCAACAGGGGGTATACCCTCCGCCTGAAAGAGTGGCCCTTGTCGTCACTCACTACCCCAGGCTACACGACTCTGTCTGCAACGATGAGGGGGAGGGTGCTGTGACTATGCCACTGAAAGTGACGATGGTTGTCGGATATGGTCACGGTCTCCTATGTGTGGCTAGGGAGTGAGTGGTTGTGGGCTCTTATCGATCGCTGGTCAACGACCACGAGGCCGAAGGGGGTGGGTGGGTGCCATGGAAGATGCCGGGATTTGCGTCAAGCGTGTGTTTTTGCCTTTCGTCCTCCGTGCTTCGCCTGTTCGAACCGCGCATTTTCTGTCGTCAATGTCATCGCTTGCATTTTCCGATGCGGCTCCCCATTTACTACATGATGGTGGTGTTTGGGTTCGGAGTTTCGAGTTTGGGATAACGTCACGCAGCCGGTTGTTCATCTCGGAGAGCGAAACGGCCATAGAGGAATGAAACGTCTCGGATAGACTGTCCCATGCCGATTTGATTGCGTAATGAGGCGCGTTAGACGGGGCTTTGTTCTGCATGCGATAAGCACGACCGAGGAACAGGAACTGACCAGCAGCTGTTCATCATTAGTTCCCTCGAAGCGCGGCACAGACACACAGACACACC